AATGACTATTCCGCAATTTAAGGGGAGAAGCGATCCGGAAGCATATTTAGAGTGGGAAAGGAAGGTTGAGATGATTTTTGAGTGCTATAATTATTCGAAGGAGAAAAAGGTAAAATTGGCGGTGCTTGAATTTGTGGATTACGCGATATCTTGGTGGGATCAAGTACTTACATCATGGCGTAGGGGTCGGGAAAGGCCAATTAGCACTTGGGATGAGTTGAAGACTTTGATGAGGAGGATTTTTGTTCCGAGTCCCTATTATAGGGACATCTATAAAAAATTGCAAGGTTTTTATCAAGGGAAAGGCGTAGAGGATTATCACCAGGAGATGAAAATTCTTATGATTCGGGCTAATGTGGAGAAAGATCGGGAAGCTACCATGGCACAGTTCTTGAATGGGTTAAATCGGGATATTGCAAACGTTGTAGAGTTGCAACACTATGTGGAAATCGAGGACATGTTACATGTGGCAATGAAGGTCGAGAGGCAATTGAAAAGGAAGGGGCCGTCTAGGCAATCGTTGGGTACTTCGAATTCTAATTCAACATGGAAATCGAAGTAGGATGACAACAACAAAAACGGGGCTGCATCTAGAGGTAAAAGTGATTGGCAAAAGGGTAAGGATGAAAACGCTAGCAAACTAATATCAAAATCGGAGGTACAGCCGTCGCACAATGGGGACATCAAATGTTTTAGGTGTTTGGGAACGGGGCATATTGCTTCTCAATGCCCAAACAAACAGACGATGGTGTTGCGGGATAATGGGGAGATAGTGAGCGAAAGTGATGGCGAGTTTGATGACATACCAGCGCTGGAAGATGTTAGTGAAGAAGAAAAAGTTGAAGAGTCAGTTGGGGATCTACTAGTCATGAGACGAGCTCTTACTACTCACGTCAAAACAGATGACTTGGAGTTGCAATGGGAGAACATTTTCCACACTCGATGCCATGTCAACAATACGGTATGTAGTGTTATAATTGATGGTGGTAGTTGCACTAATGTAGCTAGCATAACTCTTTAGAAAAGTTGGGTTTAACATTGTTGAGACACCCGAGACCTTATAAATTGCAATGGTTAAATGAGAGTGGCGAGGTGAGGGTGAATCGAAGAGTGTTAATTAATTTGTCAATTGGGAGTTATAAGGATGAGTTAGTGTGTGATGTGGTGCCAATGCAAGCGGGACATATTTTATTGGAGCAACCATGACAATACGATAGGAAGGCTATGCATGATGGGTACAAAAATCGATATAGTTTCATTAAGGATTGAAGGACCATTACTCTTGTACCATTAACAATGGCGCAAGTCTATGAGGACCAATTAAAATTGAGAAGTGAGGAAGAGAGGAGAGCCAAGGAGTTAGAAAAAATGAGAGAAAGTGTTGAGAAAAAGAGAGAAAATGTTGAGATAGCCACTAGAGAGAAAAAGAGAGAGCAATCACAAGAGAGAAAAGAAAGAGAGTGTTCCAAAAGAAGAGAGAAAACACAAGTGAATTTCTTTGCAAAAGAGAGTGATTTGAGGAGGGCGGTAGTTGAGAGAAAAGAAATGATCTTGTTCGTGTATAACGAACCACTCCTCAATTTTGAGGAAACTAACCCACCCCTCTCTAGTTTGGCTACGTCTTTGTTGCAGGAATTCAACGATGTATTTCCGGAGGATGCACCAAGTGGATTACCGCCTATTCGAGGCATTGAACATCAAATTGACTTTATACCCGGAGATGTCATTCCAAATCGACCAACTTATCGAAGTAATCCCGAGGAGACTAAGGAACTTCAAAGACAAGTTGAGGAGTTAATGAGCAAATGATACATGAGGAAAAACATGAGTCCTTGTGCAGTACCGATTTTGCTTGTGCCAAAAAAGGATGGAACATGGCGAATGTGCATGGATTGTAGGGCTATCAATAACATAACGGTAAAGTATCGTCACCCTATACCTAGGTTAGATGACATGCTTGATGAATTATATGGTGCTTGCATATTTTCTAAAATTGATTTAAAAAGCAGGTATCATCAAAGTCGTATGCGGGAGGGTGATGAATGGAAAACGGCTTTTGAAACTAAATATGATTTATATGAATGGTTGGTTATGCCGTTTGGACTCACAAATGCACCTAGCACATTTATGCGGTTAATGAATCATGTTTTACGTGCCTTTATAGGAAAATTTGTTGTAGTTTATTTTGAGGACATCTTAATATATAGCAAAGACCTAGGAGAGCATTTAGAACATTTAAAATGTGTGCTAATTGTTTTAAGGAAAGAACAACTCTATGCTAATCTTAAGAAATGCGCGTTTTGTATGGATAGAGTTATATTTCTTGGATTTGTGGTTAGTGCTAATGGGGTAGAAGTAGACAATAAAAAGATAAAAGCTATTAGAGATTGGCCGATACCTAAAGGCATAACGGAAGTTAGGAGTTTTCATGGTTTGACTAGTTTTTATAGGCATTTAATGAAAGATTTTAGCACTATCACCGCACTACTCAAGGAAGTAGTTAAAAAGAGTGTAGGTTTTCATTGGGTGATGAACAGGAACTTGCATTTAATACTATTAAAGGTAGATTGTGTGAAGCACCTGTCTTGGTATTACCTAACTTTGACAAAACATTCGAGATTGAGTGTGATGCATCAGGAATAGGGATTGGAGCAGTTTTAATGCAGGATCGGAGGCCTATTGCATATTTCAGCGAGAAATTGAGTGGAGCTGCTTTAAATTATCCTACATATGACAGAACTTTATGCACTTGTTCGAGCTTTGGAGACTTGGCAACATTATCTATGGCCGAAGGAGTTCGTAATACACACCGATCATGAGTCACTAAAGCACTTGCGGGGACAAGGTAAATTGAACAAGAGACATGCGCGATGGATGAAATACATTGAGATTTTTTCATACGTCATTCGGTATAAGCAAGGTAAGGAAAATGTGGTGGCGGATGCGTTGTCGCGAAGGTACGTATTGCTAACTACTCTTGGTTCTAAGTTACTTGGGTTTGAACATATTAAGGAATTGTATGAAAAAGATGTTGGCTTTTCGGATATTTATTTGTCATGCATTAAAGAGGCGGTTGATAGGTTCTTTAGGCATGAGGGGTATTTATTTCGGGAAAATAGGTTATGTGTTCCTAATTGTTCTATTCGGGAGTTGTTAGTAAGGGAGGCATATAGTGGTGGATTGATGGGACACTTTAGGGTTCAAAAGACTTTAAATGTATTGAAGGAGCATTTTTATTGGCCTAAGATGAAAAGTGATGTCGAGCGAATTTGTAGTCAATGCATAGGTTGTAAAAGGACTAAGTCTAAGGTTTTACCTCAAGGTTTGTACACACCTTTACCTACACCTAGTGAGCCTTGGGTTGATATCTCGATGGACTTTGTTTTGGGTTTACCTAGGACTAAGAGAGGTTGGGATTCTATTTTTATGGTTGTAGATAGGTTCAGCAAAATGACACATTTTATACCATGTCACAAAACAGACGATGCCACGAATATTGCTGACTTATTTTTTAAAGATATTGTGCGTTTACATGAGGTTCCTAGAAGCATTGTGTCGTATCGGGATGTCAAATTTTTAAGTCACTTTTGGAGAGTTTAGTGGGGTAAGCTAGGCACTAAATTACTATTTTCCACAACTTGTCACCCACAAACGGATGGGCAAACTGAGGTGGTGAATAGGACCATGACACAATTGTTGCGTACAGTAATTAACAAAAATTTGAAAAGTTGGAAGGAGTGTCTACCATTTGTTGAATTTGCATACAATCGAGCTGTTCACTCTACTATGTCATATTCTCCATTTGAAATTGTATATGGTTTTAATCCACTAACTCCTTTTGATTTAATTCCTTTACCTATGAATGAACGTGGTAGTTTAGATGGCAAAAAAAAGACGGAATTGGTTAAGTCACTCTATGAAAAGGTAAAAGCACAAATTGAAAACAAAAGTAAGTTGGTTGCGTCGCAGGCGAACAAAGATAGGAAGCGCGTGACATTTGAGCTAGGAGATTGGGTTTGGGTACACTTTAGAAAGGAGCAGTTTCCGGAGAAAAGGAAGTCTAAGTTGCAGCCGAGGAGTGATGGTCCATTTCAAGTTATTGAAAAGATAAACGATAATGCATACAAGTTGGACTTTCCAAGTGAGTATAATGTTTCGGCTACTTTTAACGTATCTGACCTCTCTCTGTTTGATGCAGGTTCAAATTCGAGGACGAATCCTTTTGAAGAGGGAGGGGATGATATAACCTAGGAGTCGAGCCCGACGAAGGCAATTGCGAGACAAGACCCGTTGATGGTCGATGGCGGACTGATGACGCGATCAAGAGCAAAGCAAGTGAAACAAGCGATGAGATTACTCGTTTAAGAAACTATTGATGGAACCATGTTTGGGACTCAAAATGGAGCAACTTTCATGTTCGGGTCCAAGGCCGAAACCGGAGAAAAGTTCCAAGCCTATGCGGTCGCATAGGCCAAAGTGGCTCACGGTCGCATTGAGGCTTATCGAAACTTAAAGGAGGCAACTTGCTTGAACTATGCGACCGCATAGAAATGAGCGTCGCGGTCGCATAGGCCAAAATTTTGCCGAATTTTCTACTTTTGGTATTTTTCCATAGTTTGTTAGTTTTTTATTTTTTTCCATATTTTGGGGATTATGTTCGACTTTTGCACAATTTTTACCTAGTTTTTAGGTTTAGTATAAATAGGAGTTTTCATTCAATTGTAAAAAACTTTTGACATATTTGATATTAAATTAAAGTGAGGCGTATTGTCTTCTCTTCATTGTTCTTCATTGAATAATTTCGAACTTATCAAGTATTAACTTGTGGCGTTCAAACAACCGGATTCAATTCTTGGATTACGTGATCAAGGGGTCTTTCAAGCGTCGTTCTTGTTGGATTTTTTTTTGTTCGACTTTCTTTTGGATTAATCCTAAACTCTTGGATTAATTTGGCTTTCTTGTGTTCGTCAATTTCGTTGTGGGTTTCGTAGTCAACGTTGCTACAGGGTTCGCATCAAAGATATTAAGGAACTTTCAAGAAATATACAGAAGCTTGTAACCGATCTTCCGGTGTCTGCACAAGATGCCCAGTCAGCATCGTAAAATCCTTTAAGTTCTAGACTGGATTCTACAGGAAAGAGTAGCCTGTACCCAGATGTTCCTTTCACATATCTTAACACATGTAGTGCTGCTTCTAGATGAGGTTTTCTTGGAGATTTAAGGCACTGACTCATAACCTGCACTGAGAATGACAAATCCGGTCTTGTGATGGTTAAGTGTAACAGCCTTCCAATCAACCTCCTATACATACCCGAATTATCAAGTAACTTTTCCTCACCCTTGGTCAGTCTTAAGTTCTGCAGCATAAGACATTTAGCAGGTTTCAACCCCAGGTACCCAGCATCTTCAAGGACTTCTAAAGCATACTTACACTGGCAGACAACAATTTCCCTAGATGATCTAGCCACCTCAAGCCCAAGAAATATTTTAGAACTCCCAAGTCTTCCAATCGAAATTGGCTATCAAGATTTTTCTTCAACTATTCGAAATAAGGCATATCACTTCCTCCTATGATAATATCATCAATATAGATGAGGAGAACGGTGAATCAACAGCTAGTCCTCTTAGTGAAAAAAGAATAATCAGATTTAGACTGAACAAATCCCTGAGAAATGATAAACAATGCCAGCTTAGTGTTCCATTGCCTTGAGGCTTGCTTAAGGCCATATATTGATTTGTTGAGTTTACAAACCAACGTGGTACCACCCTCCCCCTACTGTTCATACCCTAAATGCATCTTCATAAATACTTCCTCATCTAGATCATCATGGAAGAAAGCATTGTTGATATCCAGTTGGTGTAGGTGTCAATTCTTGCTGGAGGCAACCGCTAAAAGGACCTTGACTGAAGCTAATTTGGTAATAGGCAAGAATGTCTCCTAGTAATCAAGGCCTGCTTGTTGAGTAAATCATTTTGCAACAAGCCTGGCTTTCTTCCGTTCTTCAGTCCCATCTTGCCTCAATTTGACCTTATAAACCCATTGGCAATTAGGGATGGCAATTTGGCTCACCGGCTCGGACTTAAAAAAACCCGAGTCGGCTCGGCTTGAGGCCCCATTTAAGGAGGATGGGCAAAGCTCGAGCCAACCCGCGAGCCTTAAAAAAACCCCACTTGGAGGCTGCTAAATGCTTATTAATATAAAAAAAACAAAAGAGCAAAGGAAAAAGCGACCTTCCTCCTCGACTAGTAAAGGCCCGAGCCAAAAGCTCGGGTCGAGCCTAATTTTTTTGGCTGAACTTTTGGCCTGGAAAAAAGCTTGCACATTTTACCCGAGTTGAACTCGAGTCTTGAGTTTCGGCTCGTGAGCCGGATTGAAACATTGACATCCCTGCTTGCAATCCACAAGTTTTTTATTCATAGGTAAAGTGGTAATAGTCCAGGTGTTGTTAGCAACTAATGACTAGAATTCGTCATTCATGGCTTAACACCACGTTGGAGATTGGGATGTTTCCAGAAAAGTTTGAGTCTCAGCAATGGTAGAAAGTGACATCATATAGGCCTTGTGAGTTGGAGACAGAAGGTCATAGCCTAAGTATTTAGAGCAGTCACAGGGATTTATAGCTTCATGGGGAGAAATAATCAAGGTAGTTGAGAAACAAGGTTGCAGTGAAATTGCCATAGATAACTAGGGAGTCTCATAGGTCTAGTAGCTCCGGAGGGAAGTTGGATGAAAATTGGAAGAAAAAGCAGGAGAATTAGGAGATGATACAGGAGAAGAGTCAGGTAAGACAGTAGGAGGTGGCACTAATGGTAAATGTGGATGCGTATTTGGTGTTAAAGGAAAAGTAGGTGATGATGGATTTGGCAAGTCAGAAGAAGGAAATAAGGGAGATGCGAAGAGTGTTTAGAAGCATCAGTAGAATAGCCAAGAGATGCTAAGAGAGTGGAGTCATGAAATGGAAAGACGTTCTTGTGAAATAAAACATCTCTGGACACAAAGACAGATTGTGATTGCAAATTATATAGCTTGTATCCCGTTTGAGTAGAATGATAGCCAATGAAAATACAAGGCAATGCTCGAGGATCAAACTTAGATATGTTTCTTTGAAGGGTGGAAGCATAACATAAAGAGCCAAAAACTCGCAGATGAGAGTAAGTTGGTTTTGCTGAGAACAAAATCTCATAGGGTAATCTGTTAAATAGGGAAGAGCTGGGGATACGGTTAATGATATAGGTCGTTGTAAGAACACAGTCACCCGGAAGTTCATCTGGTAATTTTGCTTGGAACTTTAAGGCTCTAGCAACATTTAGCAAGTGTTGATGTTTACGCTCCACAATGTCGTTTTGCTGTGGTCTTTCAACTTAGCTAACTTAGTGTAAAACCCCTTTGGAATTAAAAAAACCATTTATTGCTAATTCTGCACCATGATCAGATCTCACAATTTTGATTTTGGTGCTGAACTGAGTATCAACCACGTGGAAAAAGGTTTGAATGAGGCTTCTAGTTTGTGATTTATTTCTCATCATGAAGGTCTAAGTATACCTACTGTAGTCATCCACAATTGTTAGGAAATATTGTGAACCATCTAGAGATGGAACTTGATAGGTGCCCCAAATATCGCAATGAATAAGCTCAAAGATTGAATGGGAAACATGAGTCCTATTAAGAAAAGCTCATCTGTGTTGTTTTGCCATGGGGGCAAACGTTATAGTGACAACTAGAATTTGATACAACTTCATGTACAAATTTGTGTAAAATAGAAATCATATCATGCGGAGCATGACCTAATATATAATGCCACAGTTCAAAAGGTACTATAGTGACTTTATTACAGCCAGAATTAAGAAGAGCAGAAGAAAGTGAGTTGAACCGGTGAGATGCAGATTTTGTGGAGCAATTCTTGTGGGATGGACCACAGTTTGAAGGAGTGCTAGACTGGAAATGATATATGCCACCCTCAAGCTTCCCCACTCCAATGGTTGCCCATGTAGAGAGGTCCTGGATGAAGCAATGATTGAACATAAATAATAAGAAACAATGATGAGAGGAAATGAGTTTGCTGACAGATATTAGATTACACTGGAATGAGGGGATACATAATACATTGGTTAGTGAAAGTTTTTCAGATAGCTTTATAGTTCCTATGTGCGTCACAAGAGCTTCATCGCCATTTGGAAGTTTAACACTGGCATTTATCATGACAGTGTTAAATAGAAAAATTCCAAATAATATTATGAAGAAGCAGAAAAATACAGAAACCTTAGGCATTTTCATGTTTCATATATTCTGTTAGTGGGTGAGATTCACGGTGATTAATAATCTCCAGACTGGTCCAGTTTATGAACAATGCTCCATAAAACAGATAAAATGAACGTGTAGAAATGCTTTTTATGGCAAAAAGAAATTGTTGAGAAACCTATACTTTTTAACTATAATCGGCAAAAAGTATCCCATTGGTTATCCTCTTTAATCAGCAAAATTATTAGATTAATGCGATACGGGAATGCTTATTAATGACCCTAAGTTGATTCATAATTATGTTTCTTTGTTCCTTTTTCCTATTTGTTTGTAGAAGTCTATCAATCTATTTTATTTCTTTCTTTTTACATCTATTCTTTACTATCGAAATGCATTATCAATAAGCTCACTCGCTTTAATGTTAGTTAAAATTAGATTATCTTCTCCATTTTCATTTTTAATAACAGGCTGATTTGACAATCTGAATCACGTCAACAAAAACATAAAAATAAACGTGACATAAAAAAAGAGAAGTGGTGGGATATTTTTAAAATTGACTCAGTCAAATCACCTAAATTCCACATTGACTTTTCAACAAATGGATATTATGAAAATGACCCATCCAATGTTAAAAGACAAAAGTACCTTTAAATACATTCTACAATTACAAAAGTTGATTTTTTTAAAAAACATCAATACTCTTTTACTTAACAAATAAAAATCAAACATTTCGTACTTTTCTTATCTGTTTACTCCAATACAGATAAATAAAATATTCTCATCTTTTATCTGCTTCAATCGCAGAAACTAAAAAATTTATTGAAATCGGAAGCTAAAAAATTTGTGGACATCAATCTCGTCGGTTTGGTAAGTTTATATACGCAAATTTAATCTTATTTTTGTTAAATTATTGTACGTTTAAATTGATAAATTGTATTTCGACATTTAATGGTAATGTAGATAAAAAAAATTTAATAGATTTGTAATTTTTTAAGCATTTGACCTGAAAAAATTCATCTGCATATACTTTGCTGGACGAGTGTTGAGTGTTAACAACCCGGCGCGTACCAATGATTTGTCTGTTTGACCGGCTGTTTATACGGCTGTTTAACCAGCTGTTTGTCAACTATTTTCTTTTTTCCCTTTTTTTGGGTTATTTTTGTTGCCGTTGATATTTTTCTCGTAATTAAAAATTCTGTTTCGACATGCATATATGGTTTTAGTCTCAGTTTGTTACTTTGGTGATTTCGAATTGGACAAAAGAGATCAATGGGTATAGAAATGGACAAGTGCTAAACGTGGTGGTATCGCAATTTCCATATCATCAGGTACATCGCATACAGAACTCTATAATGAATTACAGAACAAGTTGAATGTTGATCCTTCTCAATACAATATGAAATTGAAATTTAAATTCAGCAAGCATGAATCAGTTCCGATTCCACCTATAATGATTTCTTCTGTTGATAAAGTGAATTATCTGATTGAATTCAACAATAAACACACGACTCCTCTTTGCGTGACTTTAGTAAGGAAGGATATCGTCGAAGATGAACAAGTAGACTTGAGAGGTGGGGATCACAATGCTAATGATTTTTGGGATACGGTGAAGCTAGCTCGTGAATATGATGTGGTTATTCCAGAGACAGTTGCACACAAAATCCCCTCCACGGCTCGTGACAACGAGAATGAAAATGTAAATACTTTTACAAACGAAGAGTTGATTGCTTTATCCCGACAGAGACATGAGTGAAGTGGGACCTCGGGGGCTAGATCGAGTAAACCGTCCTTTAACTCCTCACATGTGGTTCTCGATAATGAGGATTTGTATGTCGAGCAACTGTTTAAAACGAAGAAAGATTTGCAAGAAATAGTGCACCTAATTGCACTGAAATACAACTTCGAGTTTAGAGTGAAAAAATTGAATAGGTCGTTGTTGATGTTATCATGCATAGATGACAGTTGTAGTTGGCATTTGCGAGCGACGAAAATGGATACGAATGAGTGTTTCGTAATTCGTAAATATACACAGGAACATATTTGTAAAGTGGGGGTTTGTCGCAATGATCACAGGTAAGCCCGAGCTTGGTTTATTGTTCGACAGATAATGCACAAGTATCAGGATCCACGGACAATCTACAGATCATCGGATATCATTAACGATGTTCATCGAGAGTACGGAGTAGTCATGAGCTACCAGAAGGCCAAAGAATGCGCGTTGGAGGATTTAATGAGCTCGACAGAGGAAAACTATGCTAAATTGGCCAAGTATTGCCATAACATGGAGAAAACTAATCTTGACTCGACATTTTTTTTAGTAAGACGGAGGCCAAAAACTGCTTCAAATTCTTCTTTATGGCTCTTGGATAATGCATTCGGGGATTTCGAAATGCTATGTGACCCCTAATTCTAGTCGACGGTACAACTCTGAAATCCAAATACCAAGGCAAGTTGATTATTGCTACATATCAAGATGCTAACATTCAAA